GGGTCCCTCGCAGGCCAGGGGCCCCAGCCCTGGCGGGAGATGAGAGGCCGCAGCGCAGCCCAGCCCGCGTCCCCGCCCCGGCGCCCGGCCTTTCCTGCTGCCCCTGCCTGGAGGGCTGGGGGTGACGGACGGGAACAGCACCCCGCCCCCAGCCCGGGATCCCCGCCTGCCTTCGGTGGTCAGGCCCGACCCGCTCAGCCCTGTACGTGCGGGCGGGGCTCCGGTGCCCCCAGCAGCGATGCCAGCCCAGCAGGAAGCAGGCACCGGAGATGATTCCTTCCTTCCCTCCTGAGGGGGAACCCTGCACAGAGGCACCATTGAGGAGCTGGCATTGTCTGCTTGGTGCACCCAGTGCCTCCCTCCCTGGGTGGGCCATGCAGGATTCCAGCCAAGATCCCCTTGTACCCGGCTTGGCAGTGGTTCTGGGTGGGGCCCTGGCAGACAGGGCTTCCCTGGGTGCAGACAACTAAGCCCCCACCTGCTCTGGCCTTCCTACCCCTGCTCTGATTTCTAGGGCATAAGGCTCTATTGTCCCAGCACTGGCGGGGGTGGCCTCTCAATTCCTCCTTGTCTTTGGCAGTTGGGAAATTCCCAGCCATGGAGGGTGGCAGGCTGGGGGGCAACCCAGGTGTCCTGCATCCCAATAGGAGGGACTCCGCAAGGTTGATTGCTGGGGATCCCCGACTGCCTGTTGCTGCCCAGGCTGGACTGCAGCCATACCTCCTTCCTGGGAGCAGCTGGGTGAGGGGAGGCAGATATTCTGTGCTCCCTGACCCTGTGTCCCCCTGGAGCTCTCTCAGCCTGAGAAGGCCCACCTTCCTGGCCCCACCCATGGGCAGCTGCAGCTATGAGGCCTGGGACCCTTAGGCAGGCAGGGCCAGGCAAGACACCCAGGTTCCTCCTCCCAGACCAAACTGTGGGTCCCAATATGAGGTGGGCTGTCTCTAGCCAGTGGAGACCACCCTAAGGCTGATTCTGTTCCACTGCAAATGGTTGCTCAGGCTACTGATGCCGTGGCAGCCTTGGTATTTTTAACCCATTGTGGGGGGGACAACTGGGAAGAGAGACAAGCTCTGAGTCAGAGAGGCCTGACAAGGGCAACCACTCCCCAACTCTCCTGGCCCAGACCCCCATCCTCAGCAGATGTTTAGAGGCCCAGATGCCAGCTGCAGCATGGGGAGGTGGCCTCATTAGAGATGGGGCCTCTGAAGCTGCAGGGGCTGCTGAGGCCTGGAGGAAGCCCTTGCTGTGTTCCAGGGCAGCCCCATGGCTCCTCTTGAAGTCAGGAAAACTTCCTAGCCTCTCAGAATCAACTCCCCTCCCCCCACCCAGGGTGCCAAGCCAGCCACCAAGGCTGGAGGCTCCAAACCATGACGTGACTGCAGCCACCCAGCCTGTGGCATGGCCAGCTAGGCCAGCATGGCAGTCAGGGAGAGGGCAGGGGCAGGACTGCAGCTTCTCTTGGCTGAGTTCTGGGTCCAGGCCCTCTCCCAAACAACTGCCCCCAAACCTGTCTATCGCCCTAAAAGGGATCCCAGGGGCCCTCACCCCTGCCATGAGGCTGTGCCTTCTCCCCAACCCCCCTTGGATACGCCAGCTCCCATTACACACCAAAAGTGGGGACTTCAAGCTAGTTGGGATATGTGTGTCCATGCCTGCCAGCCACTCCGTTCCTCAGTTAATCACAGTGTTGGGCACCAGGGGTCAGAGGGCAATGCCATGGGTCCCGTTATCCTCTCTGCCTTGGTTTTTCCCATTGCCAGAGACACAACCCCACAGGTGGTCTCAGGAGAAAAATCAGTTTGTCACCAATGGGAAGCCACTGACTCTGCTCTCTGACCTTATTACAGGGTGGGGAGTCAAGGCTGAGGGGTTGGTGCAGGGCCAAGGAAGGGCCTGAGGTGTCCCTTCTCCGTCAGTCCGCCATCCCTACCTGGGCTCAGCAGGCCCTGGTAGGTGGGAGGCTTCCTGCAGGCACTGTCTCCCGCCTTCCTGCACCTGTCCTCTGCTGGGTCTTACAGGTGTCTGGGCTTCACAGAGAGAGGAATCCCCAGAGGTGGATGGTGAATGGCGACAACAGCAGGTGGCAGCGGGGTGGGCCTAACGGCAGGAGGGCACAGTCCAAGCAAAGTCCTGGCCTAGAAAGAGCTGCTGCCTCCTGGCAGTGGGGTGGCTGGAGCACTGGCAGGCTGGCAGGAGTGGTGTGAATGCCGGGCTAAAGCCTGGGGTCCCCAAGCTTTGCAAACTCTGAGTCAGGGGCTGGGAGGGCCTGCAGAAGGGAGGCCTCAGGAGAAGTGGCAGAAAGAACCAGGGCCACAGCCTGGGGTGGGGTGAAGGGGTCAGGCTTCAGGCCTGAACGGAGAGGAGGCAGGGTCTCCCTGAGCTGGGGGCTTGGGCACTGCTGGGGGGTTGCCGACTTGTGGGGTGGGAAAACAGTTCCAGGGAAAGAAAGGAGACTGGAGAGGAGCCAAGTCTGAGAAGGACTCAGAAGTTTGGGCAGAAGAGGCGAAGGGAAGGGTCTCCCTCCAGGTCCCCAGGCCTGGATCCTGCGCGATGCCCAGTGCTGAGGTGGCAACAGGAGTGCACACCTGTACCCGCCTCCAGTGTGCCAGACCTGCCCAGCCCCCATTTACAACCGCAGGACCAGTGAAGGGAGTGATCTGAGAGGCTCCATTTCCCCCTAGGGACACACAGTTGAGCAGAGGTGTCAGGATTCAGCCCCACCCCACCTTCTTCCCTCCCCTGGCTACTAGGAGGTTGATCCCTGGTCCCCCAAACCTGAGATCATCTGGAGCCCCCCACAGCACTCCTGGAAGTGTAGCTTGTGTTAATGTATGTTAATGAGTTTAGGGACAACCCCAGTCTGCTTTTGCAGCATTCCTGGCACAGCCCTCCCCCCTCCCCCAGGCTACGGAGGAGGGGAGATGGAGGCCCTGCCCCCAGCCCCCCCAGTCCCCCTCGCTGGGCAATGAGGAAAACAGGAGTGAGTGAAGAGCTGTGATGTGGCTGGGGGGGGG